TTCTGTTGGTAGCTTTGTTTTAGCATCATGTGTGGTCTGGTTTGCAGTTTACATTGTACGAAAGTTTATAAAGCCCAAGTCCAGTAAGAATTGAGCAATATCACTCTGTTTACCATACATGGGGTAAATACCCTCCGTAAAACTTACATTTCATATAAATAAAAATCTCATTTTCAGAAGTCAGCCAAAGAAGCAAATATGATATTTTATAAAGATATGAGAGCCATAGTGCAGAAAGAAGTCTAAAAAGAGTTTGTAAAAGCTATAACGTAATACTGTTCTCCACGATTTCTCTTCTTATGGCTGTAATAAAATACCAAAAGACAGGAAATGGTTGGAATGTACCAAAATATTACTTAAAAAGGATTTTCTCATTTCTTTTTATCATAACAAGTCAAGATTTATAGAAGAGCCGTCATGTGCTTTACAATACAGTGCAATGGTCACGTAAGCCTTTGCAATCCAAACAGCAAAAAATCTTATGGCTCCTTAATGACTAAAAAATATATTGCAGCATTAGTGTCTGCGGATAACAGCTTACTAAATTAGATATGTTGGAAGAATAAATACTCTTATGCTTGGGGATGGATAGTAGAACTGTCAAGGGTGATGATGTCACTTATTAACAGTGGCCATTCATGCAGCCATTGTCTGCTGATAACCCAGACACAGCACCTGCCAGGACCTGTTTGCTGATCACACACATGTAGCACCTGTCAAAGCACCTCAAAGCAGCAATGCCTTTTCCTGGCATCAAGTAGCTGCCCTCTACAGCTTCCATGTGATCTTTGGGGGGGGGGGGAAGGTTTGGTTTAACATGTTCCTGATATATTTTGCCCTCTGATATGGACCTCTGCATAGCCCTAATCAATAATGTGTCTGAGCATGGGGAAGCCTGGGGCTGACCACGCCTGGGCTTGGAAATCTGTAGGATCAGGCCTGATTAGCACTTGGATAAGAGATCACCAAAGGTTCCCACAACAAAACACATCCTGGAAAAAGGCAATGGCCAAAAAACCTACATAGTCATGTACAGTATATGTACTCAATCAGGAATTGAGCTCAGCTGGAGGGTGTCTTTACCGTCTTAAACCAATAACATTTACTGAGCTAAAACAATATATGACCCAGGAAGATGGAATCAACTTTGCCTGCCATGTGCAGTGCCTTGGAAAATGGTTGACAATTCTACTGTTTTAGAGGCACAGGAAGTTGCCAAGTCCCTATCCTTGCTTACTATCCCAACTGATGGACTATGTTGGCTTGACAGATCATAAATTGTGCAGGCACGTATTGAAACTGCTCATGAACTAAATCTTATAATACAACATAATCTCTTTTCCAATTAAATGAAAGTTGGCAGGAATTCTAACATTTAATCCAAGTGGATGAACTATTTACATTATATAATAAGTGGGTTCTACATAAGTGGATGAACTACTAATTAAAGGATATGGATGTAACTAATTATATTTCTTGTGTTTTAGTTAGGTCACTAATCCTGATTTTTGCAGGTTTAAACACGGTGCTGCTGTACTTATAATTCATGTAACACTTTAAATTGTTTTACAAATTTCCTTTCTTTTTAATTTTTCAGAGATGGCAAACTTAGGATAAGATGGTGATGGAGGCCAAAGATAGAAACTGAATCCCAGACACCTGTGGACCTTGACCTTTGTAACAGATTACACATTGTATATTATCCTACAAGGAATAAAAAATATAAACAGTGTTATACTGTGGTCAGAAAAGCCAGTGTATATAGCAGTAGAGATCTGTCTTAAAAGCTCCAGGGAACCATAACCATCACCTTCAGTCTGAAGCAGAGTAATCACACATGGACTAAGCCAGAGGCTGGACAACCATAGAGGGTCATTGTTTTGTCAATCTAAGTTTGAGAAAGACACAATTCAACGTACAATCAGCCATCTCGCATCCTCATAAGACTTGTGAAGTTAAAACGCGGAGGGTGCGTACTGTTCTCAGCTCCTTTGAAGAGCACACTTCATTTGAACGTGTAATACTGCTATGCAACAGGAACAGGGAAATTGTTATGCGATGCTCTGCCAGAGACATTACTGTACACCACTGCTTACAAAAAGGCTGTTTGAAAGGAAGCCAGAATGAGTTCGGTGGGGATTTCTCCCAAGTTAACAGGGATAGGCTGACGTCTCCCAGATCAAATTCCTGACCCAAAACACTGGGCCTCAGGTAAAATGGGCCCCTGGAGGGGCACTGAGGAAAATCTCTGTGTCTGTGAGATTGCTTCTTAAGCGTGAAAACAGATTCAGAGAGGATAGTTTGCTCATTGGGATTACTTTTGAAACAGATTCTCTCAGATTGACCCCTAATTGCAGGATAGGTCTGTGCTAACTTGAGATTTTAAGACAACTTTTATCCCACAAATTCAGGCTCCCTTTGGTTCTGGAAAATAGCTTTAGCCCTGATTTTTCTGACAGATGGAGCTGCTCCTTTCCCGGTAAAAAGCCGCCAACCTTTGACAGGCAGCAGACACTGATGCCCCTTGTGGTCAAAAGATAGTTGCAACAGTCAAAATTAAGGTCGCACCAGAAGGAACAGGCACAAAAAGAGTTCAGATGTACTAGCAGCAAAGCTGCAGGATACTGATTCCCCCCACACTCCATGTTTGCTAACCTCTTCCCTTTTTAACATATACGATTGTGAGCCCAGAGGATTGATGTGTCCTTCTTAAACCCTCCTCAAATGCGCCATTCTTCGCTTTCCACGTTTCAAAAAGGACACTCTTAAAACTGTACAGCTTCCCCAAGGAATAATTATGAACTTTGTTCAGACGCATCTCCTCTTATATACAGATCCGTTCTTCTAGCTCATATACTTTTCTTCACGGGATTCATGCAAATTGGGAGCGTGAATGTGTGAAGCTGAAGGCAACGCGGTGGTGGTGGTGGTCTTGGACTTCTGTGGTCTTGCATTCAAAGTTTTAGGGGGACTAGTTCAACGTCAGGAGAAGTTGGCAGGGAGGGGGGCAGCCCCTGACCCTGAGTGTTTATGTCTTAACAAACTTGGGCCTCCCGGATCCCCACAAAGCAACTTACACTTTCAGACCCCCGTTGAGCAGAGTGGACAGCGATCCACCTCTCTGGAAGTATTCAAAGTGAAACAAGCGTGCAGCTCTTTATTATGATGATGAGAGTTGGAAACCTTCATTTATCTTCAAGGAGCCAACCTCTTTTCTATGCCCCCTCTGGCTTAAAACGCCCTAGCAAATGTTAATCGGAGAGCAGTCCTCGCCCCGATCGCGAAGTTTCTCCTTTCTGCATCTTAGCCCCTGTAGGAAGCGGCGTGAAGGAGCTTCCTTAATAGGAGGAGGGGGTCCTCGGGGGCTGCTGTCAATCTCTTTAAGCCTTTCCTTTCAAGCTTTGAATGTGAGCAGCCCACTAGCCCCCCGCAGCCCTCCCCACTTTCTCCTACAGATCGTAAAGAAAGAAGGGGAAAAGGGGAGTTTCAACCACGGCCCGACCAATCGCAAGTCGCGCAGCAAGGAAAAGGGGCCGAGCAACTGGAGGGGGGAGTGGAGAAGAGGAGAAAGAGCGAACCAGTCGGAGAGCTCAAGCGAAGGGGGGATGTGTAATAAGGAGGAGAAGCGTTGCTAATTTTTTTTGTTTGTTTGCTTTTCCATGCATGCATAATGAGGCCAGATCAGAACACGCTGCTGCTGCCGCCGCCGTCGCCGCTGCGTGGAGAGCACTTTTGTATTTAAAGCCTCGCGACAAAAAACAGCTCCCCAAAAGTGTCTGCAAAGAGACGGAGAGCGAGGGAGAGAGAGGGAGGGAGGAACGGCGGATCGCGGGACTCGGCGGCGAGCGAAGCCGCCTCGGGAGGAAGAGAGAGTGGGAACCGCGCTGAGTCCGGCCGCCTCGTTTCTTATGCTGCCTCCGCTTGCCATAAAGGGGAAGCGTCGGCGAGCCTCAGCGCGCCTCCGGAGCCCGGCCGGGGCTCAGGGGAAGTTCAGAGCGGCGACTTGGCATGTGAGGAGATGCGCGGAGAGCGAAGAAAGAAGATCGGCATGAGGAGGGAAACCGCCGCAACGACTCAGCAGGGAGCCCATCGCCCCGCAGCTCCAGGCTCCTTTCGCCGCCTCCCGGCCTCCCCATCCCGGGAGTAAGGGGCGGAGGCTGTCGGGCTGCAAGGAGGAGAAGGCGCCGCGTTTCTGGGCTTTCTAAACGCCGTCCCCGGAGGAAGATCCCAGTCCGTGGACGGGCGCCGCGCGGA